TAACAGCAGTATGTGTTCACGGAGGTGACTTTATATAACAGCAGTATGTGTTCACGGAGGTGCACCATACGTTTATTCATATTATTAAACAGTATTTCCGCATCGGCGAACACACTTGAAGCAGTTGCATAAAGTCACAGGAGCATGACAACCCATATTTTCACAAGCACAGAGTCCCCCATTGTCAGCCCTGGTTTGAGTTCTGGTGAAGTCTGGTGTGGGTCCTGTTTTGGATGTTTACAGTATTTTCAGTCTGCTCGCTCAGTCCGCTAATGTCCCCGTGACCACTTTGCTGCTCTCTGATTGGTTGTCGCACGAACGACCCCAAGGAAAGGATGAGCAGAATCCATCTCCTGTGGGCGTTGATTTTTCGCTCCTGCTCCTCCCTTTTCACTTTCCCGCCATGTCCGTGCGTCTCTACTGAACAGTCCGTGTGTCTCTATAGAACAGTCCGTGCGTCTCTATAGAACAGTCCATGCGTCTCTACTGAACAGTCCATGCGTCTCGACTGAACAGTCCGTGCGTCTCTACTGAACAGTCCGTGCGTCTCTACTGAACAGTCCGTGCGTCTCTACTGAACAGTCCGTGCGTCTCGACTGAACAGTCCGTGCGTCTCTACTGAACAGTCCGTGCGTCTCTACTGAACAGTCCGTGCGTCTCTACTGAACAGTCCGTGCGTCTCTACTGAACAGTCCGTGCGTCTCTACTGAACAGTCCATCCGTGCGTCTCTACTGAACAGTCCGTGCGTCTCTACTGAACAGTCCGTGCGTCTCTACTGAACAGTCCGTGCGTCTCTACTGAACAGTCCATGCGTCTCTACTGAACAGTCCATGCGTGTCTACTGAACAGTCCATGCGTGTCTACTGAACAGTCCATGCGTGTCTACTGAACAGTCCATGCGTGTCTACTGAACAGTCCATGCGTGTCTACTGAACAGTCCGTGCGTCTCTACTGAACAGTCCGTGCGTGTCTACTGAACAGTCCGTCCATGCGTGTCTACTGAACAGTCCATGCGTGTCTACTGAACAGTCCATGCGTCTCTACTGAACAGTCCGTGCGTCTCTACTGAACAGTCTGTGCGTCTCTACTGAACAGTCCGTGCGTCTCTACTGAACAGTCCGTGCGTCTCTACTGAACAGTCCGTGCGTCTCTACTGAACAGTCCGTGCGTCTCTACTGAACAGTCCATGCGTCTCGACTGAACAGTCCGTGCGTCTCTACTGAACAGTCCGTGCGTCTCTACTGAACAGTCCGTGCGTGTCTACTGAACAGTCCGTGCGTGTCTACTGAACAGTCCGTGCGTGTCTACTGAACAGTCCGTGCGTGTCTACTGAACAGTCCGTGCGTGTCTACTGAACAGTCCGTGCGTGTCTACTGAACAGTCCGTGCGTCTCTACTGAACAGTCCGTGCGTGTCTACTGAACAGTCCGTGCGTCTCTACTGAACAGTCCGTGCGTGTCTACTGAACAGTCCGTGCGTGTCTACTGAACAGTCCGTGCGTCTCTACTGAACAGTCCGTGCGTCTCTACTGAACAGTCCGTGCGTCTCTACTGAACAGTCCGTGCGTCTCTACTGAACAGTCCGTGCGTCTCTACTGAACAGTCCGTGCGTCTCTACTGAACAGTCCGTGCGTCTCTACTGAACAGTCCGTGCGTCTCTACTGAACAGTCCGTGCGTCTCTACTGAACAGTCCGTGCGTCTCTACTGAACAGTCCGTGCGTCTCTACTGAACAGTCCGTGCGTCTCTACTGAACAGTCCGTGCGTCTCTACTGAACAGTCCGTGCGTGTCTACTGAACAGTCCGTGCGTGTCTACTGAACAGTCCGTGCGTCTCTACTGAACAGTCCGTGCGTCTCGACTGAACAGTCCGTGCGTCTCTACTGAACAGTCCGTGCGTCTCTAATGACAGTCCGTGCGTCTCTACTGAACAGTCCGTGCGTGTCTACTGAACAGTCCGTGCGTCTCTACTGAACAGTCCGTGCGTCTCTACTGAACAGTCCGTGCGTCTCTACTGAACAGTCCGTGCGTCTCTACTGAACAGTCCGTGCGTCTCTACTGAACAGTCCGTGCGTGTCTACTGAACAGTCCGTGCGTCTCTACTGAACAGTCCGTGCGTGTCTACTGAACAGTCCGTGCGTCTCTACTGAACAGTCCGTGCGTGTCTACTGAACAGTCCGTGCGTCTCTACTGAACAGTCCGTGCGTGTCTACTGAACAGTCCGTGCGTCTCTACTGGACAGTCCGTCCGTTCGTGCCGAGAGGTCCGTGCGTTGTGACGGTCGAACACGCGTCACCGTAGACTTTGCATTGAAACCCGACGCAGCATGATCCGGTCTGAAAGCACCATAAGACAGTCTTGTGAAGTCACAATATCCCATTTTAACTTTCATCTGGTCCTTACGGGCGACCTGGTGCCCGCGGGCACCGAGTTGGTGACCCCTGCTTTAGAGCATGTCTCATGGTGCAGGACCTCCTTTTAGAGCGTGTCTCAGGGTGCAGGACCTCCCTTTAGAGCCTGTCTCAGGGTGCAGGACCTCCCTTTAGAGCATGTCTCATGGTGCAGGACCTCCCTTTAGAGCATGTCTCATGGTGCAGGACCTCCCTTTAGAGCCTGTCTCAGGGTGCAGGACCTCCCTTTAGAGCATGTCTCATGGTGCAGGACCTCCCTTTAGAGCGTGTCTCATGGTGCAGGACCTCCCTTTAGAGCATGTCTCATGGTGCAGGACCTCCTTTTAGAGCGTGTCTCATGGTGCAGGACCTCCCTTTAGAGCATGTCTCATGGTGCAGGACCTCCCTTTAGAGTGTGTCTCATGGTGCAGGACCTCCCTTTAGAGCATGTCTCATGGTGCAGGACCTCCCTTTAGAGCGTGTCTCATGGTGCAGGATCTCCCTTTAGAGCGTGTCTCATGGTGCAGGACCTCCTGTTAGAGCGTGTCTCATGGTGCAGGATCTCCCTTTAGAGCATGTCTCATGGTGCAGGACCTCCTTTTAGAGCGTGTCTCAGGGTGCAAGACCTCCCTTTAGAGCCTGTCTCAGGGTGCAGGACCTCCCTTTAGAGCATGTCTCATGGTGCAGGACCTCCCTTTAGAGCGTGTCTCATGGTGCAGGACCTCCCTTTAGAGCGTGTCTCATGGTGCAGGACCTCCCTTTAGAGCATGTCTCATGGTGCAGGACCTCCTTTTAGAGCGTGTCTCATGGTGCAGGACCTCCCTTTAGAGCGTGTCTCATGGTGCAGGACCTCCCTTTAGAGCATGTCTCATGGTGCAGGACCTCCCTTTAGAGTGTGTCTCATGGTGCAGGACCTCCCTTTAGAGCATGTCTCATGGTGCAGGACCTCCCTTTAGAGCGTGTCTCATGGTGCAGGATCTCCCTTTAGAGCGTGTCTCATGGTGCAGGACCTCCTGTTAGAGCGTGTCTCATGGTGCAGGACCTCCCTTTAGAGCGTGTCTCATGGTGCAGGACCTCCTGTTAGAGCGCGTCTCATGGTGCAGGACCTCCCTTTAGAGCGTGTCTCATGGTGCAGGACCTCCTGTTAGAGCGTGTCTCATGGTGCAGGACCTCCCTTTAGAGCGTGTCTCATGGTGCAGGACCTCCTGTTAGAGCGTGTCTCATGGTGCAGGACCTCCCTTTAGAGCGTGTCTCATGGTGCAGGACATGGGACGAGGCAGTACAGTGCTCAGCTGCTTCCATAGACACTGTCCATCACTGAGGCCAGACTACTCCTACAAGAGACCACCTTTAAGACCACAGCTTTTATTTTTGGATTATATATATCAAAAGTTATTGAACTATTGAACTTAATAAACTCTTTTGGCATGAAGTGTCTTCATTTCAGCCCTTAAACATTATCATGACCTTATTTGCTGTTCATCTTTCAAAATGTCCAACAATATAAATTATGGAAATGGATAAACATGACAAGAATATGCCAGTGCTGCCACCTTGTGGTAGAGAGGAAAAATTACATTCTGTTAATCTCAGATTAGAATCTTACATGGCACGGTTTAATTGAAGACATAAAGCTGCATAAAACTAATACGAACAGAATTTATAAAACTAAGCGCTAACAAGACTATTAATTATTTTGATAATTGATAAATCGATTAGTTTAGATCCTGAAAGTCAAGTGATGCCCGTTGAAAATATCTCCATAGAGATATTAGGTTGTTTAATTAAAAATACATTAATTCTGCAATCATTATAGAAATATCCGAGTCATCAAACCTCTTCTCAACGTTTAAGTCTGAAAGGTTTATAAAAAAAGATGACCGGAATAGTTGAACGTGTATTTGTGCCAGTTTGATTTTTAAGTTTTGTTATGATAATAATTTAGCTATCATCTCAGTTCCTTTGTAAACAAACTAAAAAGGTAAAAATATATTATTCCAAGGGAGAAATGTAATGTTTCCATCTTAAGAAATCTTCAGCAATTACATCTCCACCAGTAGTTGTAAAAAGTCAAAACCAGACTAAATGAACAATGACAATGGACAATGAGCTGCAATTAAAAATAACAATAACATTCTGTATGTTTTAATGGTACCACACGATGAGTATTGATGATTTTGAGAGTCTATCTATTTTAAATTCAGAATAATGTCTAATACTTTTCTATGCCCTACTACATGCCTTACTTATGGTTTTTGTTGACTCTTTTCTTGGCAGATCCACTTGACGTCAGCACAATCGGGTCTACCCTGGGGTTGCTGGTTGCTGGAGGCTGTAACCATGGCGATCGTCCCATCCCTCACTGAAGGCTGAGCAGAGCTGCCCGTCACACTCCGGGATATGTTTCCAAGTGTGGCCACGGCCGCCGCCTCGCCGAGCTAACCGTGCCGTTCCCAACATGAACACCTAGAACGTAGGATTGGACCTGTTGACGCGCCGCTCAGCCCGCATCGACTCCCTCCAGCCGCGTTTACCAAAGCTCTCCTGCCTGGCGCCCAGCGGACTTTCTATGGCTGGAGCATAACCGTGGAGACGCCAGGGTACCACAAGCTTATGGATTTTGATAAGAGAGGGGGCAAAGGAGACACAGAGGAAAGCAAAAAGATGTCCAAGACGGCAGGGAGCAGGACTGGGCACGGGGGCCGCAGCTCAGGGACCAACTCCGGGGTGCTTATGGTCGGCCCCAACTTCCGCGTCGGGAAGAAAATTGGCTGTGGGAACTTCGGGGAACTCCGCCTTGGGAAAAACCTGTACACTAACGAATATGTGGCCATCAAGCTGGTGAGTGTCCAAGGCTTTCCCATTAGAAGGCTTGTTTTGAGGAACGTGGGGTTCAGATTCAGAAGCACTGGCACCTTTCACTTACAATTCTTACAAAAGCGTGGAGGTTTCAAAAATGCTTTTCCCATTGGATTTGACCTATGTATAGATTGTACCAGTGTTTGACTCTCCTTCAGTCTGGTGATAAGCTGTTTATAAGTCAACTATACTTGACTTATCTGTATCAAAGAAGGAAGGAAGGACACATGCACGATAACATAACATGCCTTATATACAGTAGTCTCTAGATAAAAAACACGTTCCAAGTTTGTTCTGTAAAAAATAAGTTTACTTAATATTAAGTACATTTGCTGGAGCACACATTTTCTTAGCTTCTAGGCGTTTCCTTAGACATCAGGTATCTGGTTTCTTTTATACCGAAAAATATAACTTGCTTATCCAACAATGAAGTACAGGCACTTAAAGGATTTAATTGCCCCATAAAACGGCACTCTTTCACAATTTTGTTCATAAAATGGGTTCATTTTTCAAACTCTCCCGACAGTTTATGTGCTTACCGCTGACTGTAATAATATGAAATCACAGTGAAGCGTTTTGCTCTATTGTGGTAACACCAAGTCCTACAGCAATCAATAATTTACCCTTTATGTTCTGTGTCAGCATGAAATCTGTGTGAGCCAGCTGCAGAGAAAGCCCAAATGTCAGGGCCGGTGTGAGTGAGCAAGCTAATCAGCCAATGTCATGAGTGTAGAACCTTTTTTACTCTTGACAAATGCTATGACATTATATGTTCACAACAAAACATACTTCATAATAATTATGAAATATTAACTCTGACATTATGAGTAAAATGTATGAGGGGAGAGGGGGAGTATTCATGTGGTTTTCTAAGTGGATTGTATGTTTAAAGCTTTTTTTACGTAATAATAGGATTACTTTTATTGAACTTGAGTTTGGATATGTCTGAATATTCGGCTGAACATAATTATATTTTTTACATTTTAGCATAGATTAAATAAGGTTTTTTTCCCAGAGAACATTGGTTTATACTACCATCACCCTGCCATCACTTGAACGCAGAGTCCACGCGCACAGGACGCATGTTCTTAAAAATCTCAGGGTGCCCTGCAGTAGGGACAAACCATCCATCCATTTTCTTTCGCTTCATCCGTTGCCGGGTCGCGGGGGCAGCAGTCTAAGCAGAGATGCCCAGACTTCCCTATCCACACACACTTCCTCCAGCTCGTCCGGGGGGACCCCAAAGCGTTCCCAGGCCAGCTGGGAGACATAGTCCCTCCAGCGTGTCCTGGGTCTTCCCCGGGGTCTCCTTCCGGTGGGACGTGCCCGGAACACCTCCCCAGGGAGGGGGACAAACCATTGATCTATTATAATATCTGAATAGGGTATTACTAGATTGGAACTGAAGGAAGGCTGTTTACAGTGTTCTTTTTCAGGCATTTGTCTCTCACTCCACACAGAGAGTGTGGAGTGACAGTTCTCGTCAGGACTCAAGCTGCAGCATTTTGAATGTACTGCAGCCGTTTTACTGTTTCTTTGGAGAGAGCTGCGAGCAGCCATTACACTAGTCCAACTGAGTCTCCAAATCTGCTTTAGACTATGTTTTTAACTCCAGCAATGTTTTTTTAGATGGTAAAATGCTGCTGATGTTTCCGATTTAATGTGGCTATTGAAATCTAAGTCTGAGGAACTCAGACTTGTTTTTATTTCTTGGACAATATCATTATGTACAGGTGTAAAGTGCGTCAGCTCAAAAAGCCTCACTGGCTGTTGGATTGTCATTTGTGTTGTGGAGGTGATGACTAGAACTTAGTCATTAAACAACTATGAAAACTCATTACATTTAGATTTGGAGGTAAGTTCTGATGGCATCTTAACAAGGGGATTCTTTAATCTATTAACTGTTGAAAACAGAACACGTAGATTGTTACTACAGCCTTCAATGGTTTCCCTTGCTCTACGTAGCACCCTGCTAGTCACCAGGCAATATAACGGCAATAAAACAGCCGCTAACCCTAACCCTAGTTATTATCTATTATCTTGTGAGTTATTTTACAATATTGTGAGATCCTCTGCAAAAAATGCCCTACCCTGAGATGAATGCTGATGCCTCCCTAGTGATATGTGATGATATTGAGATTTCAGATGTACTAATGTGTAATGACCCTCGGGGTCAGTGGATTCTCCCCATATCGTCCTCTTTAAAAACTGGACACTCCCGTTGTATTTTTACCCTGACAGTGTCTGGCTAAATGCAGGTCTCCGATGGCCCCTTTGCACGCAGTATAGTTCTCCCAGAGGGAATAAGAGCCCACCAGTAAAAGCATTAGAGGTGTTAACAAGCCTCCAAATCCTGTTAATGAGAGGAGTGTTTGGATTCATGTTATCTGACATCATTTGTCATAAATATATCGGAAAACTTAGAGCTAATCTAAGGGACAATTTGTTCCAAAAGAGCCACTATGACAATATATGGTAACGGATGTTATTTTGCAATAATTGCCACTCAAGTAAACCTTTTGCTTGGATAATATTTCCAGATAAGTCAAATTTTTTCTCCAGCTCCTTCGATTGATCAAAGGAATATTGCTACATTATTGGATTTATCCAAATAAAAATACCAATCATAAGGCACTAGGGATGCGCAAATATTTATTTTCTTAAATCTTTTGTCAAGATTTAAATAAAATAAAATAAAATATAAATGTTGCATAATGTGTTCTTGATCAAATATTGCAATTTTTTTCCCCAATTGTGGAAATGTTATATTGCTCTTGTACACACAGCTAATAATGCCATTACAGCAGAGGACAAAGAGTGCGTTTGTTTTCAGCCGAGAGATAGCCGCCTGTCACTTGCTCTGGGCTCGCACACACTTGAGGGATAATATTTAACTCTTTAACCTTTTATAGAAGGGGGTCATCTGGTTTATTTGGTTTTTATTTAACAGCAATTTTCAACAAAAGTTCTAATCTGGTGTTTCTTCAAGTTGGTCTGCTGCATATGTTGTTTTACTAATGTGTTTCCAGCATGGGGTTTCCCAACAGCCGCTTGTTTATCAATGAATAATATTATTAATAAATCTAATGAATGTATCGAAGCAGATCAACAATAGTATGTTCAAACAACATTTTTTGTTAGAATGTGTTTTTTTGTCTCGCGGCTATGTCCGCTCGATACTAAGGCCCTGTTTATACTGAGACGCTGCGCAGACGTTTCCAGGCTATTAACAGAAACGACCAGGCTCCTAATGCAAATTTCTCAGCGTTCACATGAGGTTGAAAAACGATGTAGTTCTAGCGCCCGGCCAGTAGTGGGCAGAGACACTTTACAACACTCACACGACCCCCAGCCCCGTGCCCAGCCCCCTCTCGGCAGTGTACTCACTTCCTGTGCCAGACCCTCAGAAAGTACCAACATCATTCTGCATTTTAACAGCAGCTGTGAAAATGGAAACTGAACCTAGAGCTTTGCGTGGTCTCGTTTGGACGAACAAAGGAGTAGAATTATCCTCTGTGCCGCGCTGGAAGCCCACGAAGCTAGTTAGTGTGACCGCCGCCATTGTTGATGTTTGTTCTCCACTACTGCACATGTCCAAATGTACGTGCGAGAGCAGCAGGAGGTGGGGGTCAGAGCAGCAGGAGGTGGGGGTCAGAGCAGCAGGAGGTGGGGGTCAGAGCAGAGGAGGTGGGGGTCAGAGCAGCAGGAGGTGGGGGTCAGAGCAGAGGAGGTGGGGGTCAGAGCAGCAGGAGGTGGGGGTCAGAGCAGCAGGAGGTGGGGGTCAGAGCAGCAGGAGGTGGGGGTCAGAGCAGCAGGAGGTGGGGGTCAGAGCAGCAGGAGGTGGGGGTCAGAGCAGAGGAGGTGGGGGTCAGAGCAGAGGGGGATTTCACACCTTTCCCTCTCGCGGGTGTGAAAGAGCCCCCGCTGTGCAGCGTTTCTGAGCTGTCCCACTCTGCAGGCTGGATCTGAACACTTACGTTTTCACCTGGAACAGTCTTCGTGTGAACGCTTGGTAGAAACCGACATCCAACTATACCGTTTTACTGCCACATTGTCTCCGTGTAAACTCAGCCTAAGGATACTGGGCCTCATTCACGAACGGTTCTTAGGAACAGATTTGTACGTAAATCCTACTTACGCGGTTTTTACGAAGAAAGTGGCATTCACGAATATTTCTCGTAACCAGAATTTCACTTGGGCAAGTACAAATCCTACGAGTCCTCAGGAGCACTCGTACGCATTCAGTGCCGACATGTTCACAGCCGGGGTTGTCCTCTTTGGTGAAGTTGAATAAAAATACAACATTCCAGTGATATGTCCGTCATATCGATGTATGTAATTATTTATTTGTAGTAATCTTTATTAGTAATCTTTATTTATATACCGCCTTTTTCACTGCAGATCTGGCCTACTTTTTAATTCATTTTGAAATGAAATGTGCCAACGCTTTATCAAATACATTGGAAATCTTGCCGTGTATTAGTGACCCCTTCCTATTTATAGGGGGCATTTCTTTATCCACGGGCCACAGAACAACGGCATATATACTGCTGCTGCAGGAGGTTACTGGGTCCGCGCTGAGTCTCTGCGCTGGTCTCTCCTATGGATCTATACGGGTCTGCGCTGGTGTCTCCCATGGATCTATACGGGTCCGCGCTGGTCTCTCCTATGGATCTATACGGGTCTGCGCTGGTCTCTCCCATGGATCAATACGGGTCCGCGCTGGTCTCTCAAGTCTGGTCTATGCGGTCTCTCTTCGGTCCGCGCTGGTCTCTGCGCACCGGTCTCTCCAGTCAGGTGTCTCCAGTCTATGCGGTCTCCCTGTCCGCGCTGGTTTCTGTGTGCTGGTCACTCCAGTCTCTCCTCGGGTCTGCATTGGTCTCAGCGCTGGTCCGCGCTGGATCTCCTCCCAGGGTCCAAAATATTTTGAGATTAATCTCAAAACATTTTGAGATTCATCTTTAAAATAATACATAATATAT